AACCAACGTCTTCTTCTTCACCTTTTTTACCCAAAACCAAAAAACCGAGAACACCCCTAAGAGCTCCCAGTCGCATCTCTTCACCACTGATCCGCCAACCTAATTCCTCTACACCAAACGACCCACCAACGACTCCACTTTAATTCCACCACCACCACAAATCATCAGCCATCCCCTGAACCTCTAAACCAAATATCCATCACTCCCTCACCACCAGTGGCGGACCCATGATTTTTATCAAGCGGGTTCAAAATTCAAAGAAGCAAATATACAAAGAGGTCAACAAAAATTATATATTAATAGAATATATTATTACAACTGTCCTCTACGAGTTTTCATGTCCTGAAACGTATTCATAATAGTCTCATCAGAAATGGCGTTAAATATTTTTCTTTCTACATAAGGTACCAAACAACCGCTCATGAATTCGTCATTCATTCGGTTTCGCAATTCACTCTTGATCAACTTCATCGCCAAAAAAGTTCTTTCAACTGTAGCAGTGGCAACTAGTAGAAGCAAAGCAAATTTTACAAGGTGAAACACAAATGGATAATTCAAATGCTTCTTTGTCTTAAATAGCGTTTCAGAAAGATCAACAAGTCCTTGTAGATTTGAGAACCTTTCATCAACATCACGAACATCAACAATATAAGTTTCAAGTTGATTCTTGAGCGTAACCATTATATTCTCATCAAAATCGTCAGGATACAATTCAACCATCATTAATATCTTGTTTATGTCAAAACTGGAAAATGAATCAACTGGATTTAAGCAAGCTACTCCAACAAGCAAGTTCGTTGTCACCTCATTAAAACGAGCATTGAGTTCTTGAACTTGCCAATCAATAATCTTAAAAAATATATCAACACGATAGTGATGTAAAATAGTATGATCAACAACTTTACGTCGAGATCTTCCAGAGTTAACATAGAAGTCATCAAAGTTTGGTATCGAAATATTATACTTGACACAAAATGCAGACACCTTATCAACAAGTAAACCCCATTTTTCTTCTCTTAGCTTTTGCAACCGTTTCTTTGCCACTTCAACAAGTAGAATAGCATTTGCAATATCTTGCTCCTTTTTTTGTAAGGATGTATTAAGCTCATTTGTGATCCCCAAAACATCTCTCATTAGGTGCAACATGAAAGCAACCTCAAACGTTTGACAAGTGCTAAGATATCCCTTTGCCTTAGCTCTTTCTTCTAAAGTCCGGGCATCAACAACGATAGTATCAAGAACATCAATAATTGAGCCAAACATAGAAATAAAGTTCTTAAAAGATTTGTAGTGCGAACCCCAACGAGTATCGGCAGCTCTTGCAAGACCAAGTTCTTGATTCAAACCCCTACCAGTTTCAAGTTCACCCATGTCTAATGCCTCTTGAACTTTTTCTGCTTGAGATTCTCGTTATTGTAACACAAACTGGATTACCAAGCAACCATAAGCAAGTCAACAACCATAACAATCAAAATTCCAGCAACCATAATATCAAAATTCATGTAACAAGAATAACTGATCCAACAGATTCTTGGTGTTGTTTGGTATAGAAGATGTGTTCTGATTGATAGTGAAATTTATTGGATTTCAATAAAGTCTAAAATTAACAATTGTAGTCCTTTCAAATAATTCCAGTGAAAGCCACAAAATCAATCAACTTTCAAAGACAACTATACGAAAATGTAGTCTCGAATTCCTTTAAAAATATCTAATTAAAGGATTCAACCAAAATCTTGAACAAAATTGAAAACAAGACTTGAGAATAAATAAATTCAGAAGGCATATTAGTATTTCTATTTCTAGAAGACATAATGCCTAATAATATCAATTCAGAGAAGAGATTAAGAGAACAATAAAAAAAAAGATAAGAAAGCACATACATTTAAAAAATTGAAAAACCTGCCCTCTTTAGGCTTTGTCACTGAAAGAAAAAAAAGATTAAAAATCAAAGAGAAACCTGATAGATACCAAGATGAAGCCCTTTGAGAGAGACGATCTTCTGGGCAGGGGCTAACGGAGGTCGGAGGAGATGACTATGGAAGCAAATCTTGAGAGAGAGAGAGGAAGAGAGAGAGAGAGAGAGGCATGGAAGGGCTTGGGATTAGAACTGATCGTGTTCTGATTTGGGGAATTGTGGGATATTTTAAAAATTGTAAACGACGTCGTTTCAGAGTAGAAAAAGAGATGTATATTAAAAAATCCAAAAATAGACACCATTGTGACTAATCAAGTTTCGAACTCAGGACCATTTAGAAAATTTGAACCCTCTTTACCATCAGGCTAGGCGATTCACTTGTTTGAAGCGGGTTCAAAATAAGTTTTATACCATTCGTTTTTGAAGACAAAAAAAATATACGTGTATACACAGTATTATTTTTCGACGAAGCGGGTTCATATGAACCCTCTTGACCCAATGTGGGTCCGCCCCTGCTCACCACCAACCCTATCCAAATTCGACCACACACACAATAAAACACACATAGATACACACACGCACATACACTCAAACAAGGAACGGACAGAAGCAATTGAGAACAAAGTTCTGTCATTCTAAAACTTCAATTGAGATCTGTAAGTTAAAAACAAAAACGAAAATTTGGGATTTCAAGGAAACTGTGGTTGAATTGATTGCTGATGATTTGTGAAACTCAAATACTTCTTCCTGGTTTTCCAAAAAGTTGTTGCGGTCGAAACTTTGCTGCTGCTGATTGTTGAACTTGTTGCTGAGCTCCCTCCGATCCTGTTTCTAGCTTATGTTTGGCTTTTTCCTAGTGTCATCTTGCTTTGAATAGACTTAAGTCGGCTCTGATACCACTGTAGGATTGCGTATAGGTGTTCGTAACACGCATTGGAAGGCAATAACAATAATAGGCAGATCTTTTTATGTTTAAAATTTATTTACATGTCAATAGATCAGATCTAAGACGTACCTGGTGAAGAGAGTCTCGTTTCAAAATTTCTTCGATAGTACAAAGACTCTATGCGTATCCACACCGAGAGTGATCCTTGCTATCAACTCTTTGATCAATGAAACCCGCGAACAAATTGAACGAAATATTGTGTTGAAAGTTTTCACAAAAATCTCAACTCAATGTTAGAAGAACAAGAAATACTTTTCTTGCAATTGTATTTTCTCTCTTGGCTTTGTATTGCACTCTCACTTTCACAAAGTGGGTTTTCTTCTCATGAAAAATAATTGTGCAAATTTTTGTTCCATCACCCTTTATATAGCATACCTATAAACCCTTTTCCTATTTGATTGAGGTAATGATTTACTAAAGGTAAAAGTTTATTCCAAAAATAAACTTCAATCGAATTTTATGGAAAATTGATAAATCATGTCTTCATGAGAAAGTGACTACCAAATCCATTCCTCCAACTTAAAATTGGATTCTCGCCAATCCAACATAATGGTGGATTCATTCTATACGTCCTTTGTGGAATTTATATTTCCAATTCCAAATTGGTAAATTAATATATATATATATATATATATATATATATATATATATAT